TTTAGTATTGCGACGAACAACAGTGTGTTTTTTGGCAGAGAAAGAAGTCAAAATGTTTCTTTTTATTAATCTTTCACTAAGGATAATTGCATCTTCGTAATTAAAACCATTTCAACACAAGTAGGCCACTCGTAAATTATAACCCAAAGACACCTCATTATTACTAGAATAACTACTGCCAGCAATTATTTGATCTTTTTCAATCTTGTCGCCTTTTTTTACCAACGGCAAAGAGAAACCGAGAGTGTTTTTGTTAGAAACAACTAACTGCTTTAAATGATAAATTTTGTTTTCTTTGCTGCTTTCCTTAATAATAATTTGCTGACCATCCACATATTCCACTTGACCTTTTTCTTGAGCCTTAATAGTTGAAGGAGAATTAAGAAAAACACTCCCTTCTATTCCACTTGCTACCAACGGTCTTTGATTAATAAAAGGAGGAATGGCTTGTCTCAACATGTTAGCTGCCATTAATACCCGAGTAGCATCATTACGAGCAGGATCTAAGACAGCCGCTGTGGTAAGAGAGTTTAGTTGATGAAAAGAACTGTAAATATAACTTATTTTCTCTTTCGGAATTCATACTATTTTATTTTGATGAGTGGCTGGTATAATCGAGTCAATAATTTCGTTTTTTTCATTAATTTTTATGTTACAGTGAGTTATATATTCATCTCACTCTTCTTCACTAGTTAAATGGACTAATTGGGGAATAATTATCCCATTATTGACGCGATAATAGGGGGCCATCACTTGACCATCATCATTTATTTTTGCTCCAATAGTAAGATTGTGAACTAACCCAACTCTTTGTCCTTCTGGAGTTTCCACCAAATCATAACGACCACAATAAGAAGAATTAATATTACGAGCAGCTAGAGTAGTGTTTGCCGAACTAAATCCTCCTAATCCCAAGACACTAAGTTTACGAGAATAAGAAACTATGGATAAGTCGTTATTCTGGTTTTGCAGTTGCACAAGAGCAGAAGTATTAAAGAAATGTTTGATAAGATTGTCAAAATCTTTGATGTTGGGAATTTTTAACAAGTCAACTTTCTTCAACTGGGAAATATTAAATAAATATTTATTGTCAATATCCTGCAAAAATCCACCTAACTTATTATCAAAGATGTTATAAACCAAATCTCCTACGCAACGCACAATCTGATTTTCTAGTTTATCTTTGTCTTTTTCATCTTCAATCTGACTTAGACCATGATAAAGATTAATATGCCGCGAAACAGCACAAATTAAGTCGGCGAGATCAAAATAAGTTTTTTCTTCTGGCAAATCTTCGCCAATTCCAATAACTGAAATAATTTTCGTTTTATCACGTGGCGAAAATATTTTAATTAAATATACTTCATTGGTAGAATGGGGAATATCAAAACTTTTTATTTTTTTTTCTTTACAAGCCTTCTGTAAAAATTGTAAATTTTCGCCTTTTAAAACAGTATTTTTCTTCAAAATTGCCTTACGACTTTTATTGTACAAATCCTCAGCCAATGTTTGTCCAGACACTTGTCGGAAAATATTTGTTTTTTGATTATATTTTTTTCGACCTAATCTGCCTAATTTAAAATAAGAATTTCTTTCAATAAACAGAAAATTTGGTAAATCAATCCCTATTTCCAGGGGTTTGGCTTCCTGATAATCTTCGATGTTCAAATCTTCGGTGAGAAATAAACTTTCCAAAACTTCGGAAGAAACATCAAAAGTTTTTAATATATCGAGAAAATTAATAACTAATCCAGAATTAAGAAATTTTAACTCAAGCGAACGATGCTTTTTGGTGTTGTACGAAATGTTTAATCAAGGCCCTTTCAGAGGAATAATTTCACTATAAAAATTATTTTCTCCATCTGAAAAATGATAAATAATTGGAGCTCTCACCGATTGAAAAACCACTACTTTATCATGACCATTAATAATAAAACCTCCTTGCGAATTCATTTTAGGCAAATAACAAAAAGTTACTCTTCCGGCTTGTTCGCAATGAAATTTAACTACTACATTATCATTATTATTTTCTAAAATTTCTAATAATAAATTAAATTCTCCTTTAGTCTCTTTTATTTCTCATTTTTGCCCAGTTTTTTCTTTCAAAGAGAAAGTTCCGATTTTGAAACTTTCTTCAACTCAAAAACTTATACTTTGCTTTAAATCACCATCTTGGAGATTAATTTGCATTCTTTGACAATCTCAGGAAACCGATCAAATAAAAGAAACATGATGGCTTCAAGTTAAAGAATCAGTTCGAGCTTCATCCTCACTAATTTCTGGATCTTGACATTCCAAAGACTCAATATTCAAGCGAACGTTATTGTTATAATCACTAAATTCAGCAGGAAAATAAAAATTTAGTAATTGCGGCAATTTCTCAAAGAGAAAATTTTGATAAGATATCTTTTGTTCTTGAGCAAAATCTTGCTTGGGTAAGTCTTGAAAAAGCGGTGAACGATTGAGAGAAAGATATTCACGACGCTGACTTTTCCCCGAATTAATTAGACGATATGACACCATTAATTAGAGTTATTTAATTTCTACCTTAGCTCCTTTTTCTTCTAAAAGCTTTTTGGCTTCCTCGGCCTTTTCTCGAGAAACATTTTCTAAAATCAATCCTTTCTCAGCAAGTTTTTTGGCTTCAATAATATTTAATCCCTCAACTAAATCAATAATAATCTTATAAATTGGAATCTTTTGTGCACCGATATCGACTAATTTTACTGAAACATTACTGGATTTTTCTTCGACTTTTTCACTACTTTGTACATTACTAGTTTGAACTATCGCAGTTTCTTCAATCTTATATTCTTTCTTAACTTCCTCTATCAACTGACTTATTTGTCCAAGGTTTAACCCACCTATTCCCTTGAGAATTTCGCCTATTTTTTCATTTATTTCCCCAACGTTTTGCTTTTCTGACATATATTATTTTATTTTAGTTTCTTTTAATTTTTCGAGAACATTTAGAAGTCGTCGTGTTTGCCAATTTAAATAATAACATAAAGTACTTATTAAGACATCTTTGCTTGGTAAACTGGCTCATTTTTCTAAAAGAGAACTCTCTATTAATTTTTGCTCATAAATACCCCCATGAAATCGTTTAATATCAGGATATTCTTTATTGAACTTAGCCAAGATTCCCAAAGGCTTATATTCGTCTTCGTTACAAAAAACAAAGGCATTAGCTTGCTTTAATTGTAAAGGATAACTAGGCAATGCCTTAATTACCAAGTTATTTTTATAAACTTTTCAGTAACCTCCGACTTTTTTTAAATCTTTTTTTAGTTGATAAATGTCGCGATCTTCAACTTGATGAAAATTATAAAAAATTACCGCTTTGGCCGCGTGAAAGTTAGTTTGAATATCTTTGACTGCGGTTTGTTTTTTCTCAATGACTGACATGAATTAAAATTTATTTTTGGTTTTTCTTTACTTTATTTATAATCTGATAGAGGAAATTTCTGACCTATTATTTGTATTATAGATAATTTTATAGACTTCTTCTATTGTTCTAAATTCTCTTTTTTTCCTCTCTTTATTATTTTTTTATAATTTCCAAATAACTACTATGATAAAAATATTCTCCGCAATAAAACTTAAAGTAATATTTTTAATCCAGGACCCATAGTTGTCGAAACAGTTATCGTTTTTACAAAGTCTCCTTTTCAACCAATTGGACGTAAATCAGTTATTTTTTTATATAAAAATTTATAGTTTTCTGCTAATTGTTCGGAATCAAAATCGTTTTTTCCTATCACTGCATGAATATTACCGCCCTTATCAGTTTTTAGTTCTTTTTCTCCTTTGCGAAATTTTTCTATTTCTTCCAGTAAATTTTCGGTTAGTAAACCATTTTTTTTATTAGGAAAAATTCCTTTCGGCCCTAATAATTTTTCTAAAGGTTTAATTCTCCCCTCGCTATTAGGATGAACTAATAACTTAGAAAATTTTCACTGAGATTTTTTTTTCGATTCTACTCGTGATTTTAATTCAGAAACCGTCAATAATTCAATGGCCTGATTTTCCCGAAAACTATCAACAAGTTGAGCAGGCAAATCTTCTTGAATAATCGCCACTTTATCTTGGCTTGGAATGGGATAAGGCAAAATTACTTTACTCTTCAACACATTCTTTTGATTGGCTCAGTTTAAGGAAAAACTTACTTTAATATTTTTTAATTTTTCCTGCTCAATATTTTCTTGTAAAAATTTTAAACTTTCTGAAAAAGAATAATATTTGCCACCGGGAATTTTTTCTCTAATTTTTAAGTAACGACGAGAACGCTTCATTTGCACCTTTATTATATATTTTAGTCATTTACTTTAATACCAAAACTTCGAGCAGTTCCAGACACAATTTTTTTAGCTTTACTTATATCATCAGTGTTCAGACTAATCATTAATTCTTGACTTATCTTTTCTAACTCTGCATCAGTGATTTCTTTTTTACCATCAATAATTTTTTTTATCAAATAACTACTAGGAGTACTACCAATGGCATAAATGTAAGAATTATCATCATAAACGGTTAACTCTACATTAACTAATATACCGCTTTTTTCTTTGGTTTTTTCGTTAAATTCGCGACAAAAAAGAGCCATATTTTTTAAGAAAGCTAAACTAGCCCCCGGCTTAGCTTGACCACAGACTAATTGAATACTACTGCGACGAATAATTTTTTTACTCATATTATTTATTTTTTTTGATTCAAAAAAAGTTTTTTCAACACTTTCTCATCTAATTTATTTTATCTACTTTTAAACCTTGTCATTTTTTTCACTTTCTCGCTTTTTTAGTTTGCGAAAAGCAATTAGAATTCGCCGCAATTCATTGATAGTTTCATATAATGAATTAATTTCTTTATAATTAAGACTATTGAGATAACTAACATTCATCACGTTTTCCAAACTCTTTATTAATTGCGAAATGTCTTGCTTCTCCTTAATCATATTATGTGTCATTTTTAAAAACCTTTTTATCTCTAAAGAAATTTGGTAGGACTAGGTGGATTCGAACCACCCACCTCACCCTTATAAGGGGTGCGTTCTAACCAACTGAACTATAGTCCCTTTTTTTTACTCGCCCTTAATATTTTCTCCCACAACTTGTTTTTCAATTTGATAAACTTTTTCTTTGGGAAAATTGTTCTCTCGGGCAATACTTAAAGCCCGCTCTGAAACTCTGCCTTCTTGCTTGATAAGCAACTCTAACTTGCGACGAACTTGCAAATTAGATTGGCTACGTGCTCTATCTTGGCGGTCTTTTCGATGTTTTTTATTTTTATAGGCTGAATGTCCGGACATAACAACAAGCTAAAAATTTAACGCTTAGAAAATTGGGGAGCGCGACGTGCTTTCCTTAAACCAATCTTTTTCCTTTCTGGCTTTCTACTATCTTGTTTTAATAAAGAAAAACTTTTTAGAGTTGGCTTGTACTCAGAAGAAATTTTTAACAAAGCGCGAGCCAAACCTAACCTAATAGCTTCAGCTTGACTATGAAAACCACTTCCTTTTACTCTTACTAATAAATCATAGTCTTTTTCTTTGTTAAATATTTTGAGTGGTTGATAAATATCATCACACAAAGAAGGTTCCATATAGAAGTAATCAACTAAACTTTTTTTATTAACTTCGTTTTTACCATTACCTTCTTTCAGATAGACACGGGCAGTTGCCTCCTTGCGGCGTCCTACTCCAATATAATAATTATTACTATTCATTAGGCTTTATTTTCTCTTTCCTCTTCGGTAAATAACATAATAAGTTCATAAAGACCGACCATTAAAAAGATAATACCAAGGATGATAAAGACAGATTTAGCAACTTTAATAACCAACTCTGAATTTTTTAAACCATCGGGCGTGCTTCCATCAATAAAAGAAGTTATAACTTCTTTAATAAAAAATAACGGAACAAAAGAAATTACTCCAAGCGTTAAAAATGTAATTGTTTTAGATATTCGTTTTTTATTCATATATTAGGTTATTTTAACAAAATTCTTTTCTTGAGATTGTAAGTTATGTCTATCTTCAGGATAAATAAATAATCTTTTTAACTGTCTTCGGCCTAATTTGGTATGAGGAACCATGCCCTTTATAATACGAAATACTAGTTCGTTAGGATATTTTTCAGACATTACTCTTGTACTTCTTTCCCGTAATCCTCCAGGATATCCGGAATGATTATAATAATGTTCTCCATCCAATTTATTGCCAGTAAATTTAATATGCTTGGCATTAGTTAAAACCACATAACTACCTAAGTCTAAATTAGGCAAAAAATCTTTTTTATCTTTGCCACGAATTATTTCGGCAATTTTGGGAGCTAATTTCCCTACTATTTTATCTTTCAAATCTAAAAAATATCATTGGCGAGTATTCGCTTGCAAAGAAGGAATAGTAGTTTTTTGTAATTTTTCACTATCTTTTTTGGTAATAATATCCATATATAATAATTGTACAAAGGTTAAAAATGTAAACTTCTTTTATCAATTTATTCTTAAATAATTTTTGCTGGCTCATTACAACAAAATTATTTGTTTATTAAATATCTAAATTTTGTTCTGACAAATTAGGTTCAAGTCATCAATATTTGCCAATTATTCAATCAAAAAGGGCAGCAACGATAGCTCAAATAATAGATAAAAATACAAATCAAATAATAATTAATACTAAGCAATAACCTCTTATTCCATCAACAATGGCTTTAAGATTGCCTTTCAAAAATTCTTTGGCAACTTGTTCTTCATATTTTTTAAAAACTCAGTTCATCGGACTAGCTAGAATACTTTTTTTTAACTTGTTATCAACTTCTTCAATTTTAGGAACTACTTCCATAATTTTATCTTTACTAGCAAAAGTACCTTTACCTAAATTTCAAATATCACCAATACTTACCCTTAAAATAGCTCAAGTAATTAAGAAAGCAATTACTCCGCCAATTAAGCCAGCAATTAAACAGACTAATAATTTGTTAGTTTTTTTGAGATTAAAATACTTTCATTAATTAGTAAGATCTTCCTAAATAAACCGAGATACTGGTAGGAAATTGACAAAATAAACAGTTCTTTTCTACTCTTTTTTTCTCCTTTAATAACGTAATACAACGAATAGTATAGGAAGAAATTTTTTCTTTAATTTGGTCTTCGCAAACTAACTTATTACAAAAAGGAACGAGAAACAAACCTTTTGCGCCCCCCTCTATTTTTTTTGTTAATTCTGAATAATTATCAACAGAGAAAATATGACTATCACGAAATTCAACACTTTTTTGAGAAAGATATTGTTGAAACTCTTCTTTTTCTTTCTCAATATTCCGAAAAAGAATGCCTGATTTAAATATTTTTTTTATTGAATATAATGATTCGTTCTTTCCTAATAAACAACGGCCTTTTTTAACTTCACTAACTTTACTTAAATCTTCTATATATTTTTCGTAAATAGGAGTAATTTTTTTCTCTTCATTAGTTTCCTCTAAACTAACTGTAATTTTCCTTTCTACATTATCTCTTCTCACCAAGGTAATTTCGCCTTTTTTTAACTCTTCTGTCCCCAGAATTATTTTGAAAGGGCATCCTTCTTTGTCGGCTTGCAAAATATTTAAATTAACTTGTTTATTTTTGTTATACAATTGACAACGATAACTAACACTTATCATTAGCATTTCGTATATTTCTTGATAATAATTAACTAACTCTTCACTTTGCTCGAGAAGAATAAAAGCAATCTGAACTGGGGCAATATCAAAGGGCAAAATTAATCCTCAATTATCAGCGTGATTTTTGGCAATGGCGCCAATCGCTCTGGTCGAAGTTCCCCAGGAAGTTGAAAAAGGATACTGAATTTGATTATCTTTGTTTTGAAATTTAACATTCATTAACCGACAAAAACTATCACCAAAATAATGACTAGTAGCTAATTGCAAACATTGACCATCAGGAAGTAAACACTCAATGGTATAACTTTCCAAAGCGCCGGCAAATTTTTCTCCTTCGCTCTTTTTACCAACTATTATTCCTAAATTAAGGATATTTTCGGCATAATCCTGATAATCTTTTAGTATATTTAGAGCAAATTCTCGTGCTTCTTGCTCGCTACTGTGAAGTGTATGTCCCTCTTGCCACAAAAACTCAGTATTGCGAAAAAAAGGACTAGTGTTCTTTTCTGCTCGGAAAACCGAACATCATTGATTATACAAAAAAGGTAATTGCTGGTAACTTTGGAGAATTTGACGATATCACTCATAAAATACTACTTCACTAGTCGGACGTAAAATTAACGGAATTTCTAACTTTTTTTCGCCAATTTTTTCAATATAAAAACATTCCGGACTAAATCCTTCAATATGCTTTTTTTCTTTTTCCAATAAATTCACGGGAATGAGGGTAGGAAAAAGAACATTTTGCACCCCTCTTTTAGCAAACTTGCTATCAAGGACACTTTGAATATTTTTCCACAGAGCATAACCATGAGGAGGTAAAATAAAACTGCCTTTGGTTGTTCCGGAAAAGCATAAACCTCCTTCAACTATTAATTTACTATACTTATCTTTCTCTTTTTTCATAAGTATTTACTATTTATCTTTAAATTTCTTAACTCTAATTAGTTTTTTTGCTTGGTTTTAGCAATATCTTCTATTTTTTTCCGATAATCGTCAGCATCAAGAGAAATTTTTTGAGAATCTTTTTTAACTTTTCCAAGAACTGCCTTATTAACTGCTGCCCGAAAGTCAGAAAAAGAAAAATCAATATTATTGTAATCGTTGATTACTTCTTCATTGTATTGACGAATCTTTTCTCAAAAATCGGCTGAGAATTCAACAAACTTATTTTCATCCTTATTTTTTCATAGTTCCCGATTAGTAGCAATTTTGTAATAACTCATTACCTCTTTTTGGAGATAGTTAATTAATTTTCCTCTTTCAGTTTCTGTTTTTGGTTTGGGAATTTCAATCTGAACCCCAAATCGTCCTTGGCGAATAGCTGCCTCATCAATTAATTTAAGATCATTAGTTGTACCAATAATCACAATATCTTCATTATTGGTAATTATGTCTTCGACATTTTGCAAAAAAGTTGTAACCATAGAATTATCAATTCTTTCTCCATTAATTCCTTTTTCTTTATGGAGCATCGCATCAATTTCGTTAATTATAATCATGGCTGGCTTAGTGGGATTTTTCTTCTTGGCTTTTGGTAATTTTTTTCGTACCTGAGTTAATAAATCCTCTCATGTTTCTTTGGCTGAGGCAACTCAAATTTGTTGTGGTTGACCTCCACTGAACTCAACATAACAACAAGACTCGTTTTGGGCTAATAAATTAGAATAATAAGTCTTTCCGGTGCCGGGCGGACCATAAAAAATTATATTTCGACTTTCTTTAGGTGTTTTAATAGTTTGATAATCACTGATATATTTTTGGTTGATGTAATTTTCCTCAATTAGGTCACGAACTTCATCTTGATAAATTTTCTCCAATCATTTCTTCTCATCTTGTTCTTGAGACTCAGGAAATTTAAATTCACGATCTAAATAGTTAAGGTGACTGCTTTTTTTATTATTTATTTCATCATTATTTAAAAAAAATCTTTCAATTCTACTTAATCGTTTATTTACATCAATTATACCAAAAAAACAAATTAAAATAAGGGAAGAAACTCCAAAAAATAGGTAATAAACTTTATATTTTTCTCAATGTTTTTGTCATCAAGAATCGTTGGAAATCCTTTTTTCATTACTTTTCTCTTCTTCTATATAATTCATAATTACTCTATTTTAATTTTTCGGCTATTTGATCTAAACTATATTTTAATTCCGGCTTAGATTTTCAGACAAATCCTTCTTCCTTGTTATATTTAGGAATAACATGAAAATGAAGATGAAAAACACTCTGGTAAGCTTCCTTGCCCATATTAGTAATAACGTTAAATCCTTGTGGTCGAAGAATCTTTTTTAACTTATCAATAACGCTTTTTAATAAAAAATAAAGATATTTTCAGCTTTCTTCATCAATTTCACTAACATCAGCAAAATGTTTTTTAGTAATAAGTAAGACATGACCATCACTAAGGG